AAAGTCTTTTTTGCATCAAATTGTGACTGGCGATGAAAAGTGGATTTATTTTGAGAATCCCAAATGCACAAAATCATGGGTTGATCCAGGTCAACCATCAACATCGACTGTAAGGCCAAATCGCTTCGGAAAGAAGAAATGATCTGCGTTTGGTGGAATCAAGAAGGTGTGGTGTATTATGCGCTTCTAAAACCAGGTGTAATCGTTAATACTGATTGCTCCTGACAACAAATAATCGTAAAACAACCAGAACATGCCAGAAGACACGGCAAAGTAATTTTGCTTCATGATGACCCACCATCACACACTTCAAAACCAGTTAAAGATACAAGATCTTGCCTGGGAAGTATTAATGTCCCCCCCCCCCCCCCCCCCCCCCCCCCCCCCCCCCCCCCCCCCTCCCCTCCCTTTTTTTTCCCCAACCATAAAATTATTTTCGTTGCTACTTCATAACTGTAATTTTGCTACTGTTATGAATGGTAATGTAAATATCTGATATGCAGGATGTATTTTCATTGTTACAAATTGAACATAATTAAAGCATAGTGATTAATCACAAAACAATATGTTATTATATATGTGTTTTCCGATGGTCTTAGGCGACCCCTGTGAAAGGGTCGTTCGACCACAGGTTGGCAACCCACAGGTTGAGAACTGCTGCGTTAAAAGATCTTGCCTGGGAAGTATTAACCCACCCGCTGTATTCACCAGACCTTACTCCTTCAGATAACCACTGTTCCGATCGATGGCACACACACTTTCTGAGCAGCACTTCAAAACATACGAAGAAGTGGAAAATTGGGTCTCTGAATGGTTTGCCTCAAAACAAGAAAAGGTCTTCTGAGACATATCCAACAAATTACCTGAAAGTTGGGGGAAATGTGTAGCTAGTGATGGACATTACTTTGAATAAAGCACTTTTGATGTTTCTCTTGAAATTATCATGTTTTCTTTGATTACAAAATTCGCATTAACCGGTACACCTAGTAAATGGTGTTGTCTAAATAGATTAGTGGTTATGCTCCACACCAAATTAATATGTAGAGTTGAGTACGAATTGTTCTATTGAAGTTTAATACATAAGCTAAAACATTTTTGAAAGATATACAGTTTAAAACATTCAACATTTATGTTAGTCTTGAAGATGAACTTGGAAAACTCAGTGATAAAAAGCTAAAATAAGCTAAATTTTTTGCATTATATATAAAACTGGAGGCCCAATGCATGAAGATTCATGCAAGAATAGGTCTTCCTTCCCCAGGCTGCCAGCACCGGCTTCCCTCTGGCACCCAGGACCTGGGCCTTCACTCTGGCCACCACCTTCCGCCTTCGCTCCAGCCCTGCCGCCCTCCTATAGCTCCCTCCACCCCCTGTCCCCCTCATAGCAAGTGTCCCACCCCGCCCCGGCCACTCCGCACCTGTGTGCGCTGCCCAGAGGCCCAGAGCCCAGATCAGGGCGGAATGCCTGCATCGTCGCCATGGCCGCTATCTTTGTCCTGTCAATTTGCATATTCCCTCCTTATTGGCTGTGGGCGCCACCATCTTTGTCATGAAGTGATGGTCAATTTGCATATTCCATCTTTATTAGATAGGATAAAATAATACTTTGTTTTTAAATTTTACTACAACTACATTTTTGTATATATGCTTTTAAAAATGATTTCTGGCCGAAACCGGTTTGGCTCAGTGGATAGAGCGTCGGCCTGCGGACTGAAAGGTCCCAGGTTCGATTCCTGTCAAGGGCATGTACCTGGGTTGCGGGCACATCCCCAGTAGGAGATGTGCAGGATGCAGCTGATCGATGTTTCTCTCTCATCGATGTTTCTAACTCTCTATCTCTCTCCCTTCCTCTCTGTAAAAAATCAATAAAATATATTTTTAAAAAAATTTTAAAAAAATGATTTCTGTATCTATGTTTTTAAAAAAAACAGTCTATGCTGCAGCCACACACCCCCAAATAAGGAAAGAGTAAAGTAAAATTAAAAGGATTAAAAATAGTGACAGTTAATGATATATCACGAAATATTCAAACTAAAAAGAAACAGGAATAATTTTGACATGGAATAAGAAGCAGGATTCAAGAAAAAAAGAGCTAAAGGGTCTCTAGTTTGATAAAAAATCTCTATAGCTACTCAAATGTAGTCTAAAATTAGCTATTTTTTATAGGTCTGCAACAGGACAAGTATAAAACTTGAAAGCATTTAGAAACTTTTATGGCAATCTACCTGTTTAATATAATAATAGTTTGTATTTTTCTTATTGGTTTTTCTATCTCATTTCATTTTTCCTAGTACTTACTTTTAATGTATCTTAAAGAAGTATCAGAAAAAATTCTTTATCACAAATAGTTTGAAAAGAACTGCTTAAAGACATATCCGTTATGAAGTCTGATGTGCCAAATAACACATCAAAATATACAAAGTTAAAACAATTAGACATGCAAAGCAAAAATAAAGAACAAAATGGAAGTGCAAAGAATCTCATTCCATGACCGATTAATTTTTTTAAAAAAAGGTATATAGAAGATGAAAACAAATTATAATCTGTCATATTATCTTTAGGAGTTTATCCTATATAATAAAAGGGTAATATGCAAATAGACCAAACAGCAGAACAACCGAACAACCAAAGCGTATTCCTACATAATAAAAGGCTAATATGCAAATCGACCAAATGGCAGAACGACCGGTCGCTGTGACGCACACTGACCACCAGGGGGCAGACGCTCAATGCAGGAGCTGCCCCCTGGTGGTCAGTGCGCTACCACAGGGGGAGAGCCGCTCAGCCAGAAGCCAGGATCACGGCTGGCAAGTGCAGCAGCGATGGCAGGAACCTCTCCCGCCTCCGCGGCAGTGCTAAGGATATCTGACTGTGTCCAACTAAGCTGGACAGTTGGACGGCCCCCGAGGACTCCCGGACTGTGAGAGGGCGTAGGCCGGGCTGAGGGACCTTCCCCCGAGTGCACGAATTTTGTGCACCGGGCCTCTAGTATGCTAATGATATGCTGAGGCTGCTCAACCGTTCGCTATGATGTGCACTGACCACTAGGGGGCAGACAGTCGACTGGTTGACCAGTTGCTATGACGTGCACTGACCACCGGGGGGGCAGATGCTCTGACCCAGAGGTTAGCTTGTTGCTGGGGTCCGGCCAATTGGAACTGAGCGAGATGGGCTGGACATGCCCTGGAGCCCTCCGGTGGTACCTCCCAGGCCCAATTGTGCACCAGTGGGGTCCCTCAGCCTGGCCTCCACCCTCTTGCAATCCAGGACCCCTTAGGGGATGTTGGAGAGCTGGTTTCAGCCTGATCCCGCAGGCCACTCCCCTTGGGAGGGTGCCAGACGCAGGGTTCATGGCTGGGGAGCGCTGTTGTGGCAGCGTGAGCCTCTCCCGATCGGGACTGATTGGGTGGGAGCCCACAGCAGGCACAGTGGGGATGAGCAGGAGTGGCAGGTAGGAGCTGCAGGCGGCATTGGACTGCGGGTTTTGGCCCGATCCCTGCAGGCCACCCAGCAGGACTCCACCTGTGCCTCTATTTATTAGAAGACGCCCTGTCAGTTTAATATCAGCTTTTCAGGAGGAAAAATTACTGTAAAATGTACACATTGTAAAATGTATTACAGCCTCAGAAATGTTTAAAAAATGTTTTAAAGGATTAATCAAGGAAACAATAGTATGTCAACAATTTGATATCAAATAAATGGAAAACTTTAATTGTCAAAGAAACATTTATAAAGATATTGATGATATAACCAACTCTAAAGAACACCTCAATAATTTTGAAAAATTAAAAACTAAGCAAAGTATGGCAAAAACTGGCTTTCAACCATTCCTTACTAAAAATCACTTAAGGATTCTTGTTTTTCTTTTTTTGATGCTGCTGGGCAAAATTATGTATGAAGAAAGGGTCTGCCAACTTTAAAGACTTGGAAAAAAAATTAAGTGGCTCAAAACATGCTAATCTATCTAGCCTCCCAGTTTTCTGATCTCCTTTTATATATAAGTCAAAGGAAGAACTCAAAGTATTTTATGTCAGATGCTGCTCAGATCACATATGTCTCTGCTATCCTCTTTCCCTAGCTCCCTACAATCTTATTTAAAATGCAGGATATTATTTAGGTAGTAGTTAACATTAGTGCTTTCTCAAAAATCTCAGTCTCTTTCTCTCTTTCTTCTATGGGGCCCACTGGCCTAATCTACCCAGCCTAATATAGCGACATGGTAAAAGCTGACTGAATAAAGGATTATATATAAACTAGAGGCCCGGTGCACAAAATTCATGCACTCCAAGGGGGGGGGAGGGGTCCCCCCAGCCTGGCCTGTACCCTCTCACAGTGCGGGAGCCCTGTGATAGATTGCCTCAAAGAGGTAGGCCCCGTCCACCCATCCAGGGCTTCTCGATGGATTGCCCCAAAGAGGTAGGCTGGAGCTGGGGGTCCTGCCTCCGCGCCACGCATGCAGCATCAAGCCCATGTGCGCCCGCAGCCTCCTGGTGATTGCTCGTTGCGGCGTGAGGGCGTCACGGTGTGACGACCACATAGGCTTTTATTAATAGGACTAGGGGCCCAGTGCATGAATTCATGCACAGGTGGGGTCCCTCGGCCTGGCCGGCGATCGGGACCGACTGGCCAGGGGGAGGGACCTGGGGCTGATCGGGGCTGGCCGGCCAGGGGGAGGGACCATGGGAGGTTGGCTCCAGGAGCACACTGACCACCAGGGAACAGCTCCTGCGTTGAGCGTCTGCCGCCTGGTGGTCAGTGCACCTCATAGCTACCGGCCAGTTGTCTGGTCATCTAGTAGTAATGGTCGCATAGATAGACAGATAGACAGATAGACAGATAGACTAGATAGATAGATAGATAGATAGATAGATAGATTAGAACAATGTATATGTTATAAACTCAAAGCAACATTATTAATAATTTATTCTATATGATGAAGTATTTTCCACCTATGCTATACAGTTTAATCATCTAAAAAGCTCTCCAAAGGATGATCTTACTTCTTGGACTGTCTGTCAAAAGGAGTGGCCCTGGAGGGTGTGGCTCAGTTGGTTGGACGTTGTCCTGCATGGAAAGGTTGCCATTTCATTCCAGAACTACAGGCTCAATCCTAGATAGGGGGAGTGCAGGAGGCAGACAATCAATGTTTTGCGCTCTCTCTCAAAATCAAATTTAAAAAATCTTTTTTTTTTTTTTAAAGGAGTGGTCTCATGATAGAACCAAACCCAGAAGAAGAAAAAAAGTAAATCAAAAATAAGATCCTTTTGAAACTGTTCATTTGAAGTCAGGGTTTTAAAAGATTAGTTCTGTAGATACGATGTGATAAAGTCAGGATTTTTTCTTCCATTTCTATGCCTAATATTTAAAACTAACTTCAACTAAATGTGATCTAAAAGCCTAATTTAAGATATAAAAGCTCTTTATAAAATGAAAAAAAAAGTTGTTTAAACAAAAGGTATTTCCCATAAGAATAAACAAAATGGAAAAAATATTGGTCAGTACAGAGAGAGACCAATTTTTCTAATATCCTAAGAGTTTCATGGAATTAAAAAGCAAAAGACCAAATGGTAACAGGTAAATGGGTGAAAGATGAACAATCAGTACACTGAAAAGGAAATACAAATGGCTTTCAAGCATATGGAAAGACACTCACTCTCATGAATAAAAGAACTGCACGTTAAAACTTTACTGAGATCCATGTTTTTATCTATTAATTGGCAAAGATCAAAGCATTTGAGAACATAATTTTGGTGAAGACACGAAAAGTCTCATATTGCTGGTGGGAGTACAGATCGAAACAATCCTGTATTAGTTTTTCCTCACTTGATGAAATCCTTGTAAGATATTTAAAAAATGCAGTACACAAGATACTGAGCCTAGTATGGGCTGTTGGTTATTTTTTAAAAAAAACACCTGTTACAACTGTCTGCTTTTACAGAATTGTTTACATAACAAAACAGACAGGTAGGCAAGTTTAAGTCTTGTTCCATCTGCTGCTCACCTCGTGATACCTTACTGTGTGCACTTACTGGGTGCTCAGTAGATACTTGTTGAGTGAATGGGACCAGTAATGATGCTAAGGGATGATAAAAATGAAATAAAACAAGGACAACAAATAAACTAAATTTACCTGAATTGTAGAATAAATTGCTTACAGGGCACTGTCACAATGGCAAATGTTTCCTGAAAAATGAGTCAGCCAGCAACAGTAGTATAGTAGATTGTTGCAGTAACAGCCCCATAATGAGTCAGTCACATGCTCTTACAAAACCTCTCCCACAATGACTTGGCTTGGCCATGTGATTTGCTTTGAACCATGGTACAACAAAAAATATATGGGTCTTGCCTTCACTTTCAGCTCCTGTAAACCCTAGTACTGCCTCCAGATGAAGGGGAGCCTGCTAGAGATACATGGTCCTCCAACACCCCAGCCAACAGGCAGCACCAATATCCAGACCTATGAGTAAAGCCATCCTAGACCAATTAGCTTCCAACTGACCTATCAGTTAATTGCACCACATAAGCCAGCCCAGCCAGAAGCAGGAACAGAGCTTAACAGAGCCCAGTCCAGATTCATGGGCTAAAAAATGGCTACTATCTTATGCCACTAAATTTTGGAGAGGATTGTAATGCAAAAACATACAAGTTGAGAGGGGAAAAGGATTGGTGGTCAAGGAAAATTTTGGCTTTATCTGTTTCAGTTTTTAAAATTTCACAATGAGAATATATTCATATACTACTTGTCTAATTAAACTCATAAAATATTTTATATCACATTGATATAAAAGTCCTACCATCACCTTATAAAGACACATACATAAAACAAAATAATTCAGTCCAAATGGGAACATGAATGTGAGGAGACATTAACGTTGCTCAGAAAAAAAAAAATGGGTCAGTACAGAGTACCAGGGTATATTAACACACAAAAAAGTAATGAATAAGAAAAGATGCATGGTCAGTCATGTCTCAATAATGACTATTATCAAATTCTGGAAGTACTGCTTCTCCACTTCTGTTTAGGCAGGTAATGACCATTTAATACATGTTTCCTCATTTTAATCCTCACATGCTATGAAATAAACATATGTTGAATAACTTCAGGCAAAAGTTAATTGACCTATCCATGCCTCATTTCCTCAATTGTAAAATGGGGATAACAGTACCTATTTTATAGAGTTGTTGCAAAGAGATTAAATAACTTAAAACAGGGCACACTGGAAGGGCTCAATAAATGGTTTATCACCCCTGTTAGTAAAATGATGTAAAATTACGGTCTTTTGACTAACCTGACTTCTATTTTAAAATCACTAAGCATCATCAACCAAGGAGTGATCATCAAAATTAATTCGAAAGTCTTTCTAATGACTTCATGAAAAAAAAAAAGACAATGTTATTAAAAAAACAAAAGAAAATAAAACCTGAAAATATATGTAGAAAAAATATGAAGAGAATTAAAACTCCAGGCAATAATGAATTCACTCAGTCCACATTCCACAATCAGGTTTAAAAACCACAGGCTTCAATTTTTGTTGTGTTACCATTTCACAAAAGGCAAAAACAAGAAGACAGCAATAAAACCTATTTACTGTGACCACGGGCACATACACTTTCAATACATTCTACCATCATGTAAAAAAAAAAAAAAAAAGGCATTACTCATGGCTTTGGAAAATAAGGTTCTTTCACAAGACATTACACGTAACCTAATCTGCAGCACTGGAAAACTGTAGTTACTCCTTTATCAATGGCTTAACCTTGCCCTTCTTCAAGACAAGATCGGGCCTGGACACTTGTGTGTGTATGTGTGCGTGCACGCGCATGTGCGTAAAATCAACAGTTTAAAAAAAATCAAGCCTGGGTGGGGTACTTATAAAAAAATCAATTTTTAAAAAAGTGTTTCAAACAGGTAATTACATGGCCTATAGACATGTGAGTCAGTGACCAACTGTAAAAAGCTTTACACCACAATGTGCAGGTATTTTAGTTTGTCCCATTGTGAGGGATTAATAAATGCTACAAAAATTCCATTTTTCATTTCAATTCAAGTCAAACTTTTCCTTTAAGTGAGGTAAAATATATATTTTTAAAAAATTTTATTGAATTTATTAGGGTGACATTGGTTAATAAATGTTATAGGTTTCAAGTGTACAATTCTGTAAGTATACTGTGTTGTGTGTTCGAAAGTCAAACATTTTAAAGAGTGCTTACTATATATAGAAGTAATGCAGCCAATTCTGGCGTTAGAAGGGTAAAGTAACACTTATGTTACTATATATATAGGATGTCCCAAAAAACGTATACACACACTTTGAATAATTATAAAGGCAGTATTTATTAAAATATATTTCATTTTCAAAATTGAGCCATCAGCTGTCAAAGTGTGTATATTTTGGGGACACCCTACATGTCAAACATTTGCTGGTAATTGCATTTAATAATAATCCAAAGAGGTAGAAATTATCAACTAACTTTACAGAGGAGGAAATTAAGATTCACAGAAATAAAATAACTTTCCCTGTATCTCTCAGCAGTAGACAGCAGTGGGGAGAGTACTAGGGGGCGCCTGCCAGGAGGCACTTCTGGGTAGTGCCATGTGACTTATTCCTACAGACAAACACAACACCCAGTGTAGTAGTCTTTTATCAGCAATATGAAAGGGGGCTAGGACTATGGGAAATTAAAAAGAAAATCTTTTAGGAATGGGCAAAGGAGTCATAGAAGGCTTTAAAGAGGTTGACATTTGAGTTGTCACTTTAAGGATAAGTAGGATTTATCAATTTCAATGTCAAGGCTCACCCACCCCCCCTCATCCCCAACATATTAACCAAAATAAATTACTTACTTGAAATTGAGAAAAACAATTTTGAGAGAAATCTTCCTCAGATATATTACTCCATAGTTTTAAAACAAATAATATGATGACAGTTTAATTTTTAGGTTGCTTTTATGTGGCTTGTCTTGGTTTTTATTCTGAAATGAAATTTAGATTAGTCATTTTCTTGTTCTGAGAAACTAGGAGTATGCCAACATGTTTTAACTTCACATTTTTTCACATATCAACATGTATTCTTACAAAGTCTTTCATTTCATCTTCTCAAACAAAATCTAATTTAATATATAAATTATTTTTAAGTGTAAATATATATACAAAATAAGGTAGTTCTTTTAATTCTTGTTATACTTCCTTGGTAAATGTAATAAATGGAAGAAAAAAAGAAAACTCTTGTTATATTGTTATATATTACACAAACATTTTTGAGGTAACACACTTTCCTTTTTTTTTAATCGTTTATATAGTAAATGCTCTTTCAACCCAAAGGAAATGAAAAAACTGTCCCCAAGGAAATTGACCTCAAATTCTTAGTATTTCCCACAACTATCATCTAAGAAGAAAATAGAATTGGAAAAAAATAAAACCCTAAATTTCCCAATGACAATTACAACTCCTTTTTCTCAAAATTTACTTTGCTAGGCATATATTCAATTTCTGCTGCAGAAAACAGTCCAGTTTGCCAGTACTAATTAAGCAATAAAATATTTTTCATTAAAAAATGAAATATTTAAAAATCTATTGAGAACTAGAAGAAACACAGATCATCTGGAAAACTGAAAAGGAATGACCCTCCAAAAACTGAAACAAAATACCACCCACACACCAAAAGGTCAAACAGACTGTCATAAGAGGATTTTACTTATAATTTATTTTTATCTCAAAAATGCATCCATTTTATGTTTGGACAGTGGATTTTTTTTTTCTTTTAATAGCCTAAGACACCTACTCCTGCCTTATTTGTATCCTACCTTAGAAACTACAAATTAACACAATTTATCCAAAGTTTACTGTACCTTAACTCCTAGTATTTCCTCTATTAGTATCACTGTGGTGTTAAAATGGCAAGCAGGTACCAAAGTGACAATACACTAGGGCTAATGGCAACATTCTTTGAAACCTATTTAATCCCAACCAACCTACTTAACTCCAAATCATTCTCCACTCATATTTTAATACAATCACAAGCAAAACAAGAGAAAGTTTAATATTAGCAAAGGAACTTGAAAGGTCTCCTGATAGGAATGCCCTTTTTCTTTGGAAAAAATTATACATAAAGTTCTAGTATCAATTTTTATGTATCTTTCCTAAATCCTTCTTGCTATAATCTAACCTTTATTATTATTTTTAAAAGACAATAGCTACAATTATCATAACAAATCCTACTATAACCTATTCTGTAGGAAGATTTTTAAGCACTATTGGGCACAGTAGGCCCTTAAAGATTTCTAAGCTGTGTACATGCAGTTTCTCTAAAGTTCTGTATATTCATCTTTCAGCTATCAATGTCTTCCTCCAATTAACTCTCAGGTTTGGTCGGCCAGTGTGAGGTAGTGAAAGCTGAGAGTTAAGATCCTCAGTTTTTAGACCCAGACCCACATCAACCAACTACTATATAGGATACTGGACAAATCCCTGTGCTTACCTATCTAGATTTCAGTGTTTTGTTTTGTTTGTTTGTTTTTGTATAAAATAACAGGATTTGACCAGAAAAGTATTTCCCAACCTTTTCCACATAGTAAATAATATTTGTTGAGCACACTGGCCAACAGGAGGGCATGAGGAGGCATCGACATAGTGCCTGGTGAAAAGAAAAAAAAGCCTCACATTTTTAATATAATTATAGAAGAAAAAGTTTAAATGAAGTTTGTAATAATATAATTTAAAATCCAACCTTTTCCACATCAGGAACAATATTTCAAAATAACAACGATGCTTCATTCTTGCAGAACACAGATGCACTATTAGGCAGTCACCTTGCAGCAAGCTAAATGGCAAATCAGACACATAGCTAGAAGGATCCAATATAGGCAAATACAGAGAGTCAGGTCAAGAGCTGCCCCGCCCCCCGCCCCCCTTGGACAGCATCCCTGCCACACTGTCTTCTCATCTCAGTGGGCTGCACCTTGCACTGGGTTGACATGCTCCTCAGGCACCCAGAATACAAACTCTGGTAGCAGCTCCAGGATCCCTTCTCCATGAGAAGTAGCTACACACTGTGTGGTTGGCTAGATTCCTAAAAGTAAAGCACCTCCTTTAATGCACTTAAAATATCAAAAGGAGCAGAAACTGCTAGTTGCTTATGCTATCTGCTTACAAGAACCTCACAGCCTTCCTTCAGATCCTACTCTGCTAGAGCCACCCTCCAAGTAAGCCACATAACATCAATTGGAAGCTCTGAATTAGACCTCTAGCAAAACCTAAAATTAAACAGTATTGCAGTAATCATTTGACAACTGTTACAACTACGTGTAAACAGTTGTCAAATGATTTTATTTTTGTTCTTCCATACCAATTCCTGCAAGCACAACATAATTTAAAACTTAACTTTCAATAGGTATTACATGCACGTGGTAAAAATTATTCAAACATTACCAAACAGTATACTAAAAGAATTTAGTTTCCCACCTTTGTCCTCTGGGCCACCAGTTCCCCTCACTATTACCGAACTCTTATGTATCCTTTCAAAAATGTATTATTTCATATTTATAATATACATTGATATTTACATGTAAATGTATATTTTATATATTTTTAAAACCACTCAAATGGCATGATACTATACATGGAGTCCTGCATCTTGCTTTTTCCCCCCCTCTTAATATATCTTAGACGTGACATTATAGCAGTACACAGTGTTGCCTCATTATTTTTAAGAAATACTGCCTAGTATTCTACTGAGTAGACATACCATCATTTACTTACCCATTCCCCTACTGATTTAAGTTTAGACTGTTTCCAATCTTTTGCAATGACAAATAATGCTGCCACAAATATTCTTTCATGTTTATTTGCCACATATACAATCTTTTAGAAGATAAAATTACTGAATAAAATTACTAATGCAAAAATATATGCACATTTTTAATTTTGAAAATGATTTCCAAATTGCTTTCCACAGAAAATGTGCACTTCATATTCCCACCAGCAATGTATGAGAATGTCTATTTCCCCTTCCTCTTACCCTCCCCAAGTTATACTATGTAACCAGTATTTCTTAATTTGATAGGTAATAAAAGGTATGATACAGGTTTCATTTACATCTTCATTATAAATAAAACTGCACATCTTTTTATATGAATTCTCTTTGCTTCTTTTTTTCTATCGAATTATTTTCTAGGAGCTCTTTATTTATTAAGAGGATATTAGTTCTTTGTGAAAAGTGTACAAATAAGATTTACTAGTCTGTTTCTCTTTTAACTTTGATTTTCTCTCTACAGAATTTTATTTTTATGTTGTAAAATTCAGCAATATGGCTTCGGTTCTACTTCATACTTTGAAAGGCTTTCACTGTTCCTAGATTATATTAAAAATAATTATCCTACATTTTTTGCTTGTTTTCATATTTAAATCTTTTGATTCATCTGGAAGCCAACTCCCCCACGCCCCAGATGACTAGCTATCTCAACAATGTTTACTAAGTAACTCTTCTTACCATATATTAAGTTCATATATATATATTTCTGGTCTCTGCTCTGTTTCATTGCTGTCATGTGCCCAAACCACACTACTTTTCAAAACATTTAAAAATCAGTTTACACATAAATGAGTATAATAAAACCAGAAATTACTGGCCTGCTTTAATATAAGAATCATTTTGCAGTTCCTATGTTGAATTTATATAATCAAGTTAGACACTATAATCATGCAATTATGCATTTTGGTTGATACTTATTTTGGTGTTCAGTATGAACCTCAATTTTTTTTGTTGTTACTATATATATAGGAACCATATCTAAAATATCAGATCTTCCTTAATTTTGTACATAGTCAATTTTTTATTAAATTATAAAATCAACACATGTTCTCTGTAGAAAACCTGAAAAATACAAAACAACCTCCCAGAGATAAACAAACTACATTTTGGTGTATTTTTTTCTGCATATTTAATAAATGACTATTTTGTAAACTGATTTTTCTGCATAATATACTGACAGCGTTTTCCCATATTATTTTATATTCTTCTAAAACATGATTTTAATTACATAAATTTTATTATATGAATATGCTCAGTTTGTGTAACCATTTCCCAATTGTTGGACATTTTGGGTTGTTCTCTGTGAAGACTATCATCTATTGACTAATTCCTGCAACAAATGCTTGTTTCAAGCATGTAGTAAGCTTTGACTATATAATGGCGAGCAAAAATGAACACAAAACCAGCACTTAGGGAGGTTGTGCGGGGGTGGGGGTGGGGGTGGGGAGAAAGACATTAATCTCCAACATATAAAATTACAACTATAGCAAGTGTTATGAAGGAGAGTTTAGAGTTTTGAGAGTCTATGATAGGGAAGGCTTCCCTGAGGAAAGATAAATCAAAGTATAGGTGAAGGAAAAGGAAAAACATTCTAGGCAGAGGGAACAGCAGGTACAAAGGCCTCATTGTGGGAGGGAGCATGGCAAGAATAATGGACTGAAATAAGGCCAATAAGGCTGGAACACAAAGAGCAAAGTAAGAGTAACATGGCTCAAGCCATGACTGGATAGAAAGGTAGGGGCCAGATTATGCAAGACCTTATAAGACATGTAGATGCCACCACACAAGATAGGTAGCTTTGTCCTTATCCTAAAGGCAATGGAAAGCTACTGAAGCCTATCAAGTGGTAGGTGATATAATCAGGTTTGTATTTTGAAAAGATCTCTCTCATTACAATGTAGAAAATAGATTAGAAGGGAACAGAATGGACTGGGGTAGGCCAAGATTAGGAGGCTATTGTTGCAAATACATCCCCAAAATGCTAGTTTAGACTAGGCTGGTAATGAATAATGACAAGAAGTAGATGATTCAAAAGATAATCAGACTTTGCCCAAAGATTTACATTCATAGATTAAAATCCCTAAAACTGAAATTATTGGGTCAAAAAATAACATTTCAAGGATTCTGACATGCATTGCCAAGCTGCCCTGCCAAAAGCAATTTTCACTTCATTTGTAAATTACCTTGTATCTGTTCCTCTATCAGAATTTTTCTTTTAAAATTCCTTTAAAATGACTTAATCCATACTTCCTTCATGAAGCCTTCCCTGACTCCCCTTTTTGCCACCAGAACATGTCACTAATCATGTCCTTCTTTGAGGCCTGGCTCTTATACACATTTCTACTATATTCTAAACTATGTTTGAGTTATGTCTACATATCTATCATCTCTACCACATTGTAAGCTTCTGGAGGGTAAAAGTTGTTCAAAACAACTGCACCTAAAATAATAGCTCAATATTACACAGCAGGTTCTCATTAAGTGTTCACTGAATGAATGGAATCGCATATTACCAGATTCTACTGTATCCACAGACTTAAGAGGGCTCTTGATTAAGCCTTTGGTTTACTGATTGTTACTTTAAATCAAATATAATACAGAAAGCTAACACAATTTTCTTCTCAGGACTTCAAATACCTACTAAAGTGACTAATTTTGTTTGTGGCAAATCACTAAATCTCAGTAGTACTCATCTTTCTAATAATTATATCAAATAGGTAATTATATAACCTTAAAATATTTTTAAATGGGTTAGCAAAAAGAGGCTATGAACAAACAAGACTGCATTAGAAAAATTATTTGTAATTTGAGTTTTTGATAAATGCCATAGCTTTAAAAACTGTAGCCATCTCAAACTTATCTAATAACCCACAAATTTACAAAAAAACTGAGGTTATTAAGCAACTACATAAATTATAGAGCATTTCAGAATTATCAAGTTCTTATGTTGAAACATTTGATTTCATGTTTTACAGTTAGCATCTATTCTAGAACATCTACCAGAATTTTCACTAGCTGGAGAGACTTAGGGGACTGGCATAGTTCCTTACAGTAATCTTCAAGACAAGCAGCTCCCTCTATAAGTCTGTTTGGCCTACTTTAATTGCTTTGTGAACATCTCACTCACACTACACTCTTCTATTTACTCCTACTCTGCATCTCAGCAGGAAAGCTTTCTGAAAGTGTAATTCTGTTTAACTTGGTGCTGAGGAAAAAAAAAAAAATGAGAGGGAGCCATCTAAACTCAACATAGAGTTACATCCAGCAACTAAGCAAGAGTTGGGATGTGGAAACTGGACAGATTCCCAGGTCCACCTGAGTCAGCGCCTCACAATGAAGCCTGAAAAAACTGTCTTGTACTTAAGTTATTTATAACCTTACTTCCCTCCATTAAACAAGCTACCAAAATGATGTTATCCTGCTCAATACATTGTTATGTCAAAACAATGTTTAAGACACTTAAAAAATGACTAAAAGAAAAGCAGGAGAGGTTTTTTTTTAAGTAGTAATAATTATAGTAGTAGTAGTAGTAGTAATTCCATTCCACTCAGATGAAGAAAATTCAACTGATTCTCTCAGGTATCAATATCTTCAGTCAACAAGGTTTAAATCAGTAAGGATTTATCATTCAAATTTGAATATGCCACTTTTTAAATAGTTTTTCAAATTTCACAAACTTAAGAGATGGGAGCTTTTAAAACTAAGACACTTAATTTATTTCTTAAATTACTTAAGATATGCACTCAAAAAAACAGGACAATCAGGTCAACTGGACTGTTTTCTAAAGCAGAAAACTACTTTTCATGCAATAACAGAAAAACTGAACTAGTAAAAATGTAATAAACCA